ATAATTTAGTGATCTCCATAATTCATATATATGTAAAATCTTTAAAATAATTACTAAAGCTCTTTGCAAACTAATGTTAAGATATACTAAATTGTAAATCATATAACTTATTTCATTTTCTATACACCATTCAATTGATTTTCTTTTAAAGCTTGTTGAAAATCATGTGTTTTCTTTTTTTTCTGTTTTTTTTTGTGGAGGCATAATAAAATGGTTTAGATCTTTTGTATCAGTTTCATACATATTATTATGCATACTTTTTATTGGTCTTCCTTGCTGAACTTTTTTAAGCCCATGATTTAATCCTTTTCTGCATCTTGCAGTTGCAGTAACTTGAACTTGAATTCTTTTTCCTCCACACTGGTGACTATTACTATTAGCCCGGGCTGCACTCCAGTTACATGTTTGAAAAAAAGAAGATATTGCTGGTTGAATGTAAGTATCTTTTAAGAGACGATATTGCTTATAAACTTTGATAAACTTGCATATACTTTTATCTAATATAGGGTCATTTTCATTGAGAAGACTTTTAAGATCGTTGCAAAACTACTGGAATTCATTCATGGCAGATTGATGAAGGTCATCATTGTCTTTACTTGTATTACTACTGGTTTCATCTTGATCATCATCTTGGTCATCGTCTTGATCATCGTCTTGATCATCATCGTCTTTACTATCACTAATACTTGTATTATTACTAGCATCATTGTCTTGAATATCATATTCACTATCACTGATATTATTATTAATTGAAAATTGCGAAGATACTAAAGATGCAGATTCAGGAAGTATATTTTTTTTATTTGAATTATTAAAATTAGTTTCATAGTTTATACTAATTGTATCATTATCAGTTATTGTTGCAGGTATAGTGTTGATATATTGTTTTTGTTCAAGCCATGCTTGATGAAGATCTGAATAGAATTCAAGTTCTTGATGCTTCTTTCCTAATGCTAGATAAGCATAATGATAATGGCTGCTTACTGTCATTGTGGGTATTTGATTCAAACCACAAACATTATAATGAGCTGCTATTGAAGACTGGTGTCTTCACGGAGCACCTGTTGAATTACATTCGCATATTCCAAGCTTCATATCTACGAAATACCATACGTCTGAATTTTTGCTACTTTTATGCTTGAATGTCAATGAATTAATATTTATGATTTTAATATCATCAATAGATCCAATTTTCCAACCTGAAAGTTAAAAACGTAGTGAAATAAAATTATCTTGCCTATTATAGGCTACAGCTAGCAGTTTGCAAGTATAATATAATTCCAATGTATTTACAATGAAGTGAAAGATTTGTACCACATTAAATGCTTGTATTCACCCAAAAATAATATCTTTTATAATTCGGATTCCAGCTTCAGCAATATTATTTGTGTTATTATTGCGAGTAGGAAGCTATTAACAAAAAGAAATGGTCCATTCTTTGTGATGCTCCCACAAAACTTTAAAATGCCTTTGAAAATTTGGATATTTAAGGTATGTTTGACTTGTTGTAAGTTCTGCATATGCTGTATTAAGTATAACCTCAGTCTGTGCATAAACAATTTTTTTTACATGTTCAATAAAAATAACACGATCACTCATATGAATATTATGCTTTCCTTCCCATAACCATCTCCACATTGCCTGTAGAAAATGAAAACTATATAACAACAAAGTTGACTTTTCTCAAACACAGCATAATGCTTTTCTTTCTGAACTAGAATCATTAGTCATAATTACTTGTGGTCCAGTAATAGATCCACGTCCACCAAATGCAGTAGATGGCATTATACGTTTTAATGCTTCCAAGGCACTTGTTAAAGTAGATGCAGTTTCATCTGATGTTAATATTGTAGCAAGAGGTAAGCCACCAATAGGTGCGCTTGTTGAAATAACAGTTAAGGGAGTATTAAGATTATCAAGACCTGCAGTAGCATCTATATATACTAATTCACTAGCTTGTTGCAATGAATGACAGTGTCTCATAAGGTTAGTAACAATAACCAATATAAAAGGTTGGTTAGGTTTATTGTCTGTTGGTGCAATATATGGTTGCATCCAAGCATTTTCTCTATTACTGGTATTAAACTCTTTAACCTCCTCAGCTAAATGTGAAAACATTTCTTTTCCATTTTGTGCACCAACTGATTTATTAAGGTATTTTTTATAAAGGTTATAAACATTATATTTGTATAGACATATTGCTCTATCAGCCAGTACCACTTCATCATTATCATATTTTAATTGAACTTCTTCTAGGTATGTATTATATGCACTTGTGGGGTTATGTCCAGCTTTAAAGAGTTTAAAAAATGTTTCTTTTGTATTATCAGATATAGGGTGGAAGCTTGTGGCGTGACTCGATGCCAGAGGGTGATTATGATGAAAAAGTAGTGAAATTATACAAAGATGAGGATCATATTTATTTTGAACTATTATACTTAATATTGCTGGGCAGTCAGTATCCCGTACTCGTGTGCTAACTTTACTCTTTTCTTTTATTCTATGTTTTATATTTATATTTATTTCATTATCAACTTTATTATCTTTTTTTTGTCCCTGTTTTAATTTCACTACATGGCTATGGATACAATGATAATATTTAGAAAAAAGGCAACAAATGCCTTTTACAATTCATCCTTGGGTTTCTCTTATGGTTATCTTATATAAATTAAAGAACTTATCAAGCCACATTTTAGCATTGTCTTCAGTAAAAATATTCACACAGAACTTTGCTTCGAATGGTTCTGTATATGCACCCAAAAAGTTATGTGCTTGAACTACCCTAAATGAATCGATGATATAATCATATTCCTGAGGTAAAACGTACTGCAAGACAGTAGGGTTATCTTGGGTGATTTCATTATCTGACAGCGGAATAGGAAATATATTCGTTTGAGTAGTGTTTAGTATCAAATTTAGATCCATTAATAAAAATTAAAGAGAAATTATATTGATGTGCACATTTAAGAAATCTCAGAGAGGACCTCTTAAGATCCAGGTCTAAGCATTTAGTAAATGAAAGGATTGCTTTTATAAAGTAAAGAGAGTATTACATCGATGCAAATATAAAGTTTACTATTATATTTATGATTTATTTTGCATGAAACATTTTTATTTTACATGAAACATTATATTATTTATATTATACTTCAATATACTTCAGTATACTTCAGTATACTAGAAGTTTCAGTGGTAATTTGGTTTAGTTTTATAGATAACATAATTTTAAGATTAGCTATTTGTAGGAGCCATAATACTATTAAATAATCGTATATTAAAAAAAAAAAGGTTTAGAGCACCCAAAAACTAATTATTATTCAAAACGATGTTTGACCAATACAATTTTATTTAATTACAAAGATAAGTATAGTTTATTCATAATATAAAATATATATGCAGAATAAATTTAACTAACACATTTTCTATTTATTCTTTGTATTGAAGATTAAAACTGGTTATAAATTCATAACTCAAATTGGATTTACGCATATTTGCAACAGGTAAAACTCAAACTTTTAACTAACTTTAATAACATCTAAGTTAAACAGTGTTAAATTTACAGTTTCAGCTTAATATCGATATAAATTACAAATAAATATATTGATTTTAAGATGTACTGAAACCTGCATTTTAAGGGTAACTGGATCTTATGCAAATACAGAAGTTAATTTACTAGGGGTATATAATATAATTATTATGTTTAATTGACATATTAGTATAAAATATAACGATAATGAATTACTTTAAAATATATGACTAATAAAGTTTTATTCATTTACTTGCGTATGTTCTTCGCCTACTAATGACACGTTTTACAAGAGTGTCTGTTGTGTTACATATTGAAAATAAAAAGTAATATTTTAAAAATGATCTACATTACAGTATTATCATATGAGCGTTGAACAGAATGTTTATTGAATATTACCCGATGATCATCACATGACCACCAACCGAGCACAGATTATAATTTCGCGTTGCTTAGACAGTTTTTTTTATTTCCCCCTTTTGTGTTGTTCTCTTTATCTTTTTAGTGTTAGTTTTTTTTGTATAAGTCAGTTGGAGACTATAAATCCTTCTGCTCATGAAACTAGAGGAAGAAGGTTTAGAAAAGATAGTAGTCTTGATAGGCCGTAAATACCATTCAATGAAGTATCAAAGAATTCACTTGCAGGGTTTTTTGGTATGGAGATAGATATTTACTATAGCAGATTGAACATAGGTATGCACTTGAGAACAACTGAGTTAGTGAACACTTGTAACTTAGGTGGGCTTAAGATAACTTGAGTCATAATTGATATTTTACCCATGAGTTTAATATTGCATCCTAATAAAGTGTTGGCAAGATTGCCAAATTTTACAAAAAAAAAATATATATGTGTTATATGTATTAGATTGGGTTTTATTTATCTCCAAAAATGGGGTATTACATCACTTAACAAATGCATGTTGTAAATTGATGAAGAAACTTGGATAGCATCTTTTAATAATACAAACATTACAGAATCTGCTTATGTATTAAGTAATTGGCATGGAAAAAAATTTAAGGTTGATGTCTGCTATTTTATAATAAATTTAATTTTTAACTGTTATTATTAATATAATAAATTATATATACTAATGCTGTTTTTAAATCTATTTTTATAGAGAGCACAAAAATTAGATAAAGAAAAAATTTATCACAATTAATACTCATCAACAATATATCTAACCATGGACGGAATAAAGGATTGATTAGTTGTAATGTTTTGATAAGCTTAGAGGTATACAATAATTTATTTACATATCGAAATGCTTATTTAATATACAGTATATATTTATTTATGCTATATTTATTAAATTAATAGCAAAGGTTCAAAATAAACACATTAAAAACAAAGAAAGTCTACAAAAACTAAAAAAAAGCCTGAAAAAAAACTCAAAGTAATTACCATTAATTCAGAAGATTCAAGTGAAAGTGACTTTAAAGAAAGTTCAGAAGTTAATAAACTTGAATATCAAGAATGATGTTCAGACGTGAGCTGGATTTAAGAGAACGTGAAGCAAAGGTTCATTCAATTGAATTAGCAAACCTTGAAAAAAAACAAAAATTGAAGTCTGCAAACTAAGCGCCTGAGGGCATTGCTTGAGGGAAAAAAAAAAACTGCAAATTAAATGCCGTTATCTTCATCTCAAGAATATTCTGGACAAACTGATTGTAATGTTAGATTTTAGTTGTCCAAAAAACTAGTTGAAAATCAAAAGCACAATTGTATGTGAAAAAACCTGCAATTTACATAATTAAATCAATAAATAATGACAAGGCAAATTATTTTTTGTAACGTTAAATATATACAATCCCATAAAAATCTTGGTATTTGAGAAATATGTACAATCTCATTAAAACCTTGATTTGTGAATAGTGCATACGTAAAAATCTTGATTTTTGGTGAAACATTTCTATTACTAAACCGTATTGATATTATATATTTTTATTATAATAATAAATGACTTTAGAATTTTCGTGAGGTCACATAATTAAATTATTTACGGTTATACTATTGTACTTACACATATAATATATATTATGAGTATAGTATGCTAGTTTTATTAGTTTTATATACTCAAATGCGATTAACGTATTATACTCCACTACTCTACTAAACCACTCTACTACTATTCGTAATACCGTTTAAAATTTCATTTTCATTAATAATAATTATTACTTTCACAATAGTGTGCAATTAGTTGCTTCGCTGACCGTTTATATAATAGACAAATCTTTTTAGATTTTAAGTTTTGTAAGCGAAATTTTTTTTCTCGTTAGAGTTAGAATTTAGGGTTAGATTTAAGATTTAGTAAAGGTATTGGTGGTATAGAGCGTTTTTACTTAGAGTATCACGTACCCGCCAATTGATTAGAAAGATTTAAATAAATGTATAACATAGTAGAAACATCATAGGTGTATTTTAGTAAAAGGTAATATTGCTATAGTTTCCATATCGAATCTAAATTGATTATAATACAAACAATACGATGCTTGAAATGCAAAATTTTTTTTTTTTGGTTTATCTACATAAAATGCTATCAAACAAAACATGAATACATTATAAAATTTTGGGATTTGTTTGGTGATACTCATTTTTGGTTTACAAAAAGAAAAAGGAATATAAAATGGTACGTATGAACGGAAGAACAGGGGCTTGTGTTGTGATTTAATATAATGTGTTTAGTGTGACTGGAAATTCGTTTTACCTTTGTGTGTAGAGTAATAATATGTCGTTTATTATGCCGGAGGTTAGAAATTGAGCTTTGTTATACGCTTTTTATTTGTTGTACAGTATTTCTAAATATTTGTGTTCCTAAAAAACAAGGCTTTATTATGATGTTTTTTTTTGCTACGTTTATTGAACTACGAATACCAATACTTATAAAAGATATTCCGTAAATCAATATAAATATTTGTGATCTATCAAGTATCATTCAAGTTAGCTAGGGTTATAATAAACTGGGGATATTATAGGCAGCGTTATATACAGAAATTATGACTTATGTTATTATTACAATATGATTGCTTCATAGGAGTTTAATTAAAAATTTTGTTATATTCTGTAATTTTCTTTTAAGAACGTCATCAATATTCAATATGTAATGATATCATTATATATATTTTTTTTAACTGTGAAAAAAAGTTAATGCAGTCCATATGAGCTTCTCGTCACTTTTTTAATTAAAAAAAAAACTTAGCTACACGGCATAATACGTCAGAAATTGTAACTAAGAATGCTAGCATTTCGCGATATAAATATTAAATAATGGAAGTATCTCTTTGATATTTTCTTATATCTTTTATCACCGGATAAAAGGTAAATAGATAACATGAAAATATTTTTTAATCGTTGATCATTTGATTTATAGATATCTACGAATTACTAAAATAAAAAGATTAGTACAAAAATTCTCATTATGATTAAAGCCAATACCGCTCCTTTGGGAAGGGGAAGAGCAGGAGTAGGGAAAGGATTAGGAAAAGGCAAAGGAGGAAAACGGCATCGAGTAAGAAAATCCAAATATTTGTCTATAATATCGATGTATAAAAAAATAATAATAATTAACTATCATGCGTAATTAACGTTTTAAATGTTATTAATCATTATATTGTGATATTTATCACTTAGAAATTACTTAGGGAAAATATCAAGGGAATCACGAAACCTGATCTTCGCAGGCTAGCACGCCGAGGTGGCGTTAAACGAATATCGGCTGGTACCTACGAAGAAGCGAGAAACGCGCTAAAACTTTATTTGCAAGAAGTACTCAGAGACGTTGTCTCTTACATAGAGTACGAAAATAAAAAAACGATTACCGTTATGGAAGTGTTATTAGCACTAAAAAAACGAGGTAAATCATTGTATGGGTTCAAATAGTGATTTAAAGGAAGGAAGCATAGCATGAAATTTTGCAAATGTAAAGATATTATTTGTGCTCTTATAGCAGAAACGTATGTTAAAATATTTATTTTGCAATAAATGTAAATTCAATGGTTAAGTAATGAAGCAAAATATTACTCAAGTCAAGATATTCTTTTTTATATACTTTTGTATAAAGTTGCTGAATCAATCGAGTGATATAGTCATTGCGCAAAAAATTGGCGGTCCCGTGACTAATCCGACAACGATACTACCTAATTTCCTCTAAATATTAATATTTGCATTAATAAAATAGATCTAAAGTTTGTGCCGAAAAAATTTATTTAATAACAGAAAAATAATTTCCGTACCAAATTTATGATTCTTGTTATTTTCGTCTTTATTTTTTTACTTCGAATTTGTATGTTGCACATTGATCTTACAATCGGATTGGGTAAAATCACGGTACCGCCAAATTTTTTGCACCAGGACTATTTCACTCCTAAAGCAGTTCTAATGGTCTAATTGTCCAGAATGTGATGAGGACATTTAACATTAATGCTTGTTCAAAGTGATACAAAGCATCAATAGATATGTTTTTGGGTAGCATCATTAAGTTATGACTAACCGCACGTGTGTCTATATTTGTATTTTAATATAACAAAAATATACAAGTTTTTATGACACCTTGATAGATAATTATTGTTCAAAGAACATTACTTATTAACCTATGACCTATGTAGTACGTTTTATGCAAATCAAGTTAAACGGTCGGTATAACGCGCCTGCTTTGTAATGTTTTATAAATTATCCAAGATTTGATTTCAGTGGCTTTTATTATTATTATTTTTTTTTTTAATAAATCAAAATTTTATACTAATTATCACGAATCATGAAATTTTATTACAATCTGCGATAATTATAATAATATCGGTGAAACTTTTCGTGTCGAGAATTAAAAAAATATTGTAATACATATTTTAGCATAAGGTTGCCACAATCGCTGCTTGCATTACACATTTTATTGTGAATGAACTTCTAGTTTTAGTACGTACGTGGAGTAAATATTATTTATTTAATCTAACGGCTGTAATCGATTCATAAAATGTAGCACAATTAAAAATTTTATATTCTGATGATTATAATAATAATTGTACGTCTTATTGAAAAGGATCATAAAGAAAATAGGTTTCTAACTCGAATTAATGAATATTTAGACCTTTAAAGTTTATACATAATAATGTAACAGAGATGAATTCCATCAGTTTACTCTAAATGATCTTTGTAATCGTTGTAACCTTTGTAATTACCGTTACTCTTCGAGACACCCAATTGGTTATTTCCTGTTTAATTTTGTAAACATACACATCCTATATCGATTTCCATATTTGGAAGTTTGATGCTCTTACAAGTTTTGAAGTTTACAAAAAGACATCACCGTACGTATATGGAAATTTTATAAAACAATATAAATTATATAGTAATAATTTTATTATATAGTAATAATCTTTAGAAAAAGACATCACGTATATGGAAATTTTATAAAAGAATATAGTTATATAGCAAGAATGCTCTTTAGAAAATGTTTATACGGTATAAAAAATGTCATCATCAGTACCTAATAAATCGATATCGAAAAGACTATCGAAAAGGAAAAAAATTCTGACTTAAATGGAAATTTAATGCTGCAATATGCAGCTTAATGCAAACTATAAAAAATGGATACTATAACTTTCTTTAAAGTACGTAAGTCTCGACATAAGGTACTATATACTAATATTTTGTTTAAAAGAACAAATAAAGAAAATTAGATGTTTAGTTTGTACTTCTTGATAAGCTTTGTTGATTGGAACATTCTATTTAACAACAGTTTTGCTTCCAACAAAAATACTGTGTTTGCATTTCGGATGTACATTTAAATGATTAACAAGAGTGAAGTGTGTAAATAATCATGAATAAATTTGGAAGTATATTCGTTATTTATGATCGTACCATCGTGTAACATAAAATTTATTCGCTTGTAAATATGAGCTCTTATAATTCGAATTTTAAAATATTACCTGTTATCCTACAATTTTATAGAATAAATCCCTTCAATTACAATTTTAACCAATTCATTCCTTTGAAAACCTTTTTTTTTTTTTTTTTTTTTTTTTTTTTTTTTTTTTTTTAGTTATAGAAAAGAATGGAACAATCAACATTCACATCTATTGAATTATCAGCATTTAACCTAGAAACCGTTCAAGTCACTGAAGATGTCTCGATCACGTATCAAGAACCTATTCCTCAGCCATCCTTGACTATACCTATTCCTCAGACATCCTTGACTATTCCTCGGACACCTTATCAAGAACCTATTCCTCAGTCACCTTTGACTCCTCAAACACCTTTAACTCCTCAAACACCATTAACACCTCGTAGTCATTCAGGATCAGTACTTTTAACGTTAGAAGAAAGGTTAGAATCTAAAATTAATCATGAATAGGCTGAACAACTTACATGATTATATTATTAATCGTTCTGTACAATTAGGGAGTGAGTATTTAAATTCATAAAATCAATTTTTAATAATTTAAAATAAAACTCGTGTCAATAAAATTTATAATTTTAAATAATTTAATACGTATTCAATTATATCAGAGAGTGAGTATTTAGAGTCATAAAATTGATTTTTAGTAATTTAAAATGAAACTCATATCAATAAAATTCATAATTTTAATAATTCAATTATTTCAGAGCGTGAGTATTTACAACCGTAACCATTATTAAGGTCTATTTCCATAAAAAAATAACATAATTCTAAACATCTTACTAGCGCGTAAGTATTTAATCATAAGTATTCTTAAAGTTAATCCCGATAAAACAACTAATAACTCACATACTATTAGGGCGTGAGTATATAGGATTAGCGACCTGTCGGTGTTCGGGTCATTTCACCCACAAAATTTCCTATAGTACACTTTTAACGATTGGCCAGCTTTAACGGGTATAGCGATAGTGACCAAAATCCAGGTCGGATTCCGACCTGAAATTTTGGATCCAATCATATTAGAGTTGTACAGTATTGGATACCGATACGGGCATTATCGGTGAAATTATCCATGAACGCTTCCTGACCTCTTTTTTTTAAAATAAAATTTTACTAATTCAAAATACTCTAAATAATCCACATGTATATAGAAACTATGCTAGTAGTTGGTGAGTATTTAAAACAAAAATTTCGAAAAGAAATAGTATATATAATTTTAAATAACTCACACGCATTCAATATTTTAGGACGTGAGTATTTGGACTTAATATTTTGCTAATTAAAAAACATATCAAAAACAATAAAAAAAATCTCTAAATAATCCATATGCATACACAAAAATCAGACAGTAAGTATTTGAATAATAAATTCTTTTTAATTAAAAATCAAATAACACAGCTTTAACAATCTATGTTCATGTGTATAAATTACCAGCTAGTGAGTATTATTTAAAGTGATAACATCTTTATAGTTTCCTTAAGTTAAAAAGTTAAATAACTTTAATATAAACATATTATTAGTCCGTGAGTACTAGAATCACACCTTTTTTTAAAAAAAAAAATTCTCTTAATTCATATTAACAACTTTAAAATTTAAAACATTAGCCCGTGAGTATTTGAAACTATAAAATCAAACTCCCTTTAATAATTTAATCACTGATAACTTAAATAATCTACAAATTATATTGTTAGTCCGTAAGTATTCAAACAATTTAAATCGAACTTTGTTAATTCAAGTATAAATTTTAAAATAAATAATCTACATATTATTTACAAAATTATCAGTCAGTGAGTACTTTTACAAACATTCTAAATTTGATCTTTTGTTAATTCATAAAAGTATAATATATAACCTTTCTCATATTTCTATTACTAGAACGTGAGTATCAACACTTTTAAAATCAAAATTCATTTTCACAAAACATAACTTAACCAATTTTATACACGTACATATAACATATCATTAGAACGTGAGTATTTAGTCATTCTACTTAATACTTTAACATCTAATTAACAATCTCACATACATTTAAATTATCAGTTCGTAAGTTTTAGAGTTACTGTAAAGCATTTTAAAACAAAAATTCTTTTTATTAAAAGACGATAACTAAACAATCTATATGCTTATGTACATCATATTAGAGAGTAAGCACTATTTTAAGATTATAAATTTTTTAAAATCGAAACTTTTATTAACAAATTTAAACAACTCACATTATCAGGCAGTAAGTATTAGTGTTATATCAATATTGATATTAATTGAAGAGTAATTAACATAAATATAACAATCCACGTCAATTGCTAGTTTGTAAGTATTTAGAGTCATGGTACTTTATGAGATTGAAATTCAAAAAAAAATATCTCAATAACTTTAACAATCTACATATTATTGTTAGGTCGTGAGTATTGGATCGTAAAAGATTTTTAAATTTAAAATTCTTTAACTCAAAGACTAATAATATTTTACTTAACGTATTATAAGGGGGTGAGTATTTGGTTATGAATATTCGTAATAAAGTCAAGTCAGAATTCTCGTTAATTCAAATAAAATAACCTATTCAAATTTTATTCCCAGTTGGTGAGTATTTTAAAATCATAATATCATTTCAAAAACAATCATATCGCTAAACAATCTATATAAATTTTAATAGCTGGTAGAGTATTTAGATTCAAATATTTAAAATGTAAATTTGTTAATTCTAAACAAACTAAATATCGATAATTAACATAAATAATTAGGGCGTCAGTATTTAAAGTCATAATCTTAAAATTTTGTTAATTAAAAAAAAAAAAATTAACGATTATAAACATTTCAATAATTGCAACTACATAATTAGAGCGTTAGTATTAGAGTATAAACTTTTCTAACATTGGAATTTTTAATTCAAAACAAATACATCGCGCGATACTAACGTTTATTTACGTATTACTGTATTAGGTTGTAAGTATTTAGGACTCTATTTATTCAGTGACAAACTAAATTTCAAATTAATTCACGAATATATGAATCATATTATTAGGATGTAAGTAAATTTCTTCAAAACTATAAATGTTTTAATTTCAAAACTTTTTAAAAACAGAACTCTAAATATATTACTAGGAGGTGAGCATTCGGAACTATTTGCATACTTAAGTTTAATTCAAAAAAAATAACTTGACCAATTCGTATACGAATACAAATTATATTAGGGAGTAAGTACTTAAAGTAATAGCAATTTTAAAATCAGAATTTTCATCATTTTAAGTATAATAAACTATATGCACATGCACGACTATATTATTAGAAAGTGAGTAGTATTTCGAGTAATAAATGTTGATGTAAAAATAATTAACAAACTCACATACATATAACATTACTTTTAGGATGTGAGTAAACATTTTTAAACCTAAATTTTCGTCAATATCAACAAATAAATAACTCTGATACTTACACATATATACGCTATATATTAGGAGGTGAGTATTTAAAGTCGTTTAAATAAATTTTTTTTTATTATTTCAAGAAATTTACTAACTATAAATATGTATAATTAGATCGTGAGTATTTAAAACAACAAATATTTCAAGACTAGACCTTGTTAATTCAAAAATAAACCATTCTAAACAATCAATATACCAACACAAATTTCTAGCTGGTGAGTATTTTTTAACTGATGGGATTATTAAATTAAATTTGGTTTAATAATTTAAAATCAACATATCTCTAAATATCCCATATTTTCATATAAATTTACAGTTGGTAAGTATATTGGAATTAGAAACCTTTTTTAAATTTAAAAGCTTTTCATTAACTTAAAAAATACAACTTTCACGATTAATTTATGTAAAATAAATTACCAGTTGGTAAGTATTTTAGAATCGTAAACATTTAAAATTATAAAATACTGTATTTAGAAATAACAATTCAAAAATTACTATATATTTCTGAAATTATTAGTTGGTGAGTATTTTAAAAAATATAATGTCGGATTAAAATAAATATAATAACACTAACAAATTTAAATGTAAATATTGTAACAGTCTGTAAGTATTAAAATTTTTATAAGCATTGGCAATTTTTAAAAAAATGGCATAATTCTAAAATGCACGCATTTTTAGTATGTGAGTGTTTAGATTCATAGTCGAAATTTTGTTCAATCTGAAAAAAAAACAAAATAACCTTAAAGATTGACAAACCATAAATATTAGTTTGTAAGTATTAGAACCATAACCTTTTAAATCAAATTATCTTAATTTGAAGCAATTCAAATAATAATTTTAACCAATTCATAATTATATATAACTATTAGTTTGTGAGTATTTAAAATGAAAATTTTCTTTAGTTAAAACAAACGATACGTATTATCCCAATCATATATATTTATATATTTAATATTATTTATTAGGGTGTGAGTATTTAATATCTAAAAGAATCCAATAATCAAAGCAAAAGAAAACACTAATTTATACTCATAAACATAAACATAAAATCACTAGTCTGTAAGTATTTAGTCCCATAAATGGTTTAATAATAAATTCGAAACGAGTAGTACTATACTAAATTCACGTATGACAAATGAAATTATTAGCCTGTGAGTATCTATTGTATAATTATAAAGTCAAAATTTCATTAATCCGAAGACAAATAACACAGCTCTAAACAATTTACAACTGCATCAATACATATTATCAGTGTGTGAGTATTTCGAGCTATTAATATTTTTTAAATTAAGTTTTTTAATTTAAGCAAGTAACATAATATGCATAAAATTATTAGCCCGTAAGTATTTAGAGACTGTTTTAAAATCATGTTAATTAAATCAAAATTTAATCAATTAACATATATGATGCGATTATTAGTTCGTGAGTATTTATTTATTAATAAAAAATTTGAAACAAAATTATTACTAAAAAAAGATCGCATCACTAAACGAATTTTCATACTATTTAGGATGTAAGTATTTAGAGCAATGAACACTTTTAAGATCAAATACACGTATTAATTCAACGTAAATTGTTATTTATTAGTCTGTAAGTATTATGAATGATGTCTAATTTTGAAATAATGATTCAGAAATAATTAACATTATATATACTATTAGCTCGTAAGTATTTAGAGCAAAAAAAACAACTTTGATCAACTTAATGCAAATAACATGATATTAAACAACCCGTATATATGCACTATTTATGTCATTAGAGTGTGAGTGTTTAAAGCATAAATTTTTGCGAGCAAAAGTTTCGTTAATTTAAATGTAATAATTTAAAAAACTATCATATTAATTATTAGCACGTAAGTACTTTGATATAAGTATTTTAAATTCAAATTCTTTTAAAATTCAAAACTAATGGTATAATTACAAAAAATCTACTTTATATAAATAAAATTTCAGTGGGTGAGTATTTAAACTTGTGAACGTTTTCAAATCAAAATTTCAAAGCATCTCTAAATATCCTCATATCCACATCGTATAATTA